AAGAATTCCCTTCTGTTCTCAGTTTTAAATTTATTTCCATTTCGTTTTCGCTTGTCTCCTGTGGTTCATGTTTCACTTTTCATTTACAACTGACTCTTGCCTTTCAAAGCTTGGGATACTTGGATCAGGTCCCCTAATAATCTTCTCTGACCAAAACCAAAAATGTTCCGCTTTTTTCTCCTGTCGGTGGAAAACATTCTCTTAAGCCCAGGAACGCATCCACTTGCTCTTCTCTGGATTGCTTCCAGAACAGGGATATGTTTTCTATAACATGCTCACAGAAAACTGTGTTGATGAATCGCGACGCAAGGATTGTGCTCTGTTAGTTTGTGGAGTGCAGTGGGGGGTTCTCATACGAGGAGCATTGTGATTGATGTGTAGTGTTAAAGACTGCATCCTCTCCTGCAGGGAAGGCTCCCCCAAATCTGCCTCAGGGGGTCCCTCCGTTGCTGCCCAACCAGTACATTGTGGGTCCCGGGGGTCTTCTGCCTGCCTACCCGGTAAGGGTACTCTCCTGTATTACAGTCGAACATCTCCTCTTTCACTGCTCAGCTGTACAGTGAAGTAACTCTGCAGAGTCCCGCCTTCTTAAAACGAACACACTCCTGTGATGTCTCTAGCCATAGTACTGAGTTAGTTTTGCCTTGCATGGCCTGATGCAGACGCTCGTCCGCTCACCGTTACGGTGGCGAAATGGAGCTCCGCAGTGGAAGTAGATGCTAGTCTGTGGTAATCTGTTCATTTTAATATGAAGTGGCTGTGCATCATTACAGTTAAAAAGATGTTTCAGTTTTCGTTGCAAAACAGATTTCTCATTGCTCTCACCTTAAATGTCATTAATTTTAATGTAATTTTATTGCTGTCATTAGTAGCAAATATATTGCAGATTCTTCCCTTTAGAACAAAATCATTAATTTCATTTATACAGCAGTTCACCCCAAAGCATCTTAAAATGCTTGGGATGCAGAGTTCCCATAATGCAGGATTCACATAACTTAAGGAACGCAACTATGGCGTTATAGCAGGACTGACTCCTTGGCTGTGTAGTGCCAGCTGCAGAGCCTCCAGTCCCGAAGCGCACAATGTCGGAAAGTGTCCCAGGCCCAGCCTGTGGGCAGGAGCACAGCACGCCCCCAGTGGAACACGATGTGGATGTGGAGTGGTGGTGCTGGCCAGGTGTGACCAATGGCTGTGCTTGTGTGTTGTGTCTTAAAGCAGATCTATGGGTATGAGGACTTACAGATGCTGCAGTCCAGGCTGCCCATGGTAAGACTATTCTTTTTATCCTCATAATCTAGACTTGTTTCTGTGCAAGTTCAGCATGCGGGGCACTGGAATGGAAAACTCTAGCAGCTTATATTTTTTTTGCCTCAACAGACTGATGTACCTCCAAGAGAAATAGTAGTTGCACATTGTTTTCCAAATTCAATTGCCCAACTGAATGCACTGGCACGTACCTGGAAATGTCTTGAATCACCAGTTATTTTTGCACCTACCTGGTTTGGAATCTCCAGTTGTGTTTTTCACACAGCTCAGCTCGTGGGTGTGGGCCCTGTGGCTGCGCTCAGTTGTGCACCACTGATTAGGAAATCTTGTCACAGCTCAGCCTGCGCCTTTACTGTTTGAAACCTCTCCGCTGTCGTGTACCATCTCTGTTCCATACACATTCTGTGCTGAAAGACAGGCATGCACAGACATTGAGCTTTCAGTGCCTTCAAAGAATGCACTGTGCTTGATTGATACTCACTAACGAGGTTCGTTAATATCTTGCATAGGAGATGTTAGATGGTTTTAAGGTTACCCTAAAATAAGTTGTTTTGCTGTATTGATTTTGCATATTTCCCTAGCCCACCTCCTTCAGTCTCTCTTTGTCCGTCTTCCCTGCAGGATTACTACGGAATCACATTCCCAGGCCCCACACCAACACTAGCAGGGAGAGATGGGAGCCTAGCCAATAACCCTTACTCAGGTACTCTGCGCTGAGCTGGCTTCACAGAGCCTCCCACGCGCAGCATCGACAGCGGCGCTCTGTGGCTGACAGCACCGAGCACGAGACAGAGAGCTGACAGCACCACAGCACTTACATTTCTGCAGGGCCTTATGCAGCTGCTGAATGTAGAGATGCTTAAGAAACATACAGACTGGCGGATAATCTTGTGTGTACAGTTCCTGCATTATCCGATCTTGGTGGCCATTTCCCTACCTCTCACTCTTTGACATTCTCAAGCTTTTCCCACCTAGGTCACTCCACTCTACTGGTCCTATTCTCCATCTCTTCCTCTCCTGAGTGCTTTCCTGTTCTCACGTGCTCTTTCCATGTTAACACACGTTCCCCTTCCTTATCTCCACACATCCCTTCTCCCACTTTCCTCATTCGTTACGTGTTGTCCCGTTGAGCCTCTTACCTTCTTCACCTCAAGCACTTGCTCCAGCTTTCCCTCCCTCTCGCTCTCGGCCTCTTGCTCTGCCCTTGTCTTCCTGGCTCCTGTTCGCTACATTCTGCCCTCACCCTCATCTCAGCCGTTATTTTCTCCAGCTTCCTCTCCTTCCTCCTCTCCCAGGCCTTGTAAAAAGACTGGTGGTGGCCACAGAGAGAAAAGGGGAGACTGGCAACAGAATCCAGACCCTTTAAAATGTGTCCCGAGCAATAGAGGTTTTACTGAAGTCTCTTGACTTCCCCCTCATCGTGCTGCTCAGATCGGGGTGTTACCTGCGTCTCTTCTTCCCGTGAGAGGGTGTCACCCGAGGCCTCAGACTGCAGCTCCCTCCCCGTCTCTCCGCAGGTGAAGTGACGAAGTTCGGCAGGGGGGACTCGACCTCCCCAGCGCCGGCCACCAGCCTGGCCGCACAGCCTCCGCAGCCCCAGAGCCAGGCCCAGCAGACGCACCACAGCGGGCAGCAGGCCTTCCTCAACCCCGCGCTGCCCCCCGGGTACAGCTACACCGGCCTGCCGTACTACCCGGGGGTGCCCGGCGTGCCCGGCGCCTTCCAGTACGGCCCCACCATGTTCGTGCCCCCTGCCTCTGCCAAGCAGCACGGCGTGGGGCTGAGCACCCCCTCCACCCCCTTCCAGCAGCCCAGCGCCTACAGTCAGCACGGCTACGGCTCAGGTAACGCCCGCGCATACTGGTCTCCAGTGCTGTCTAAAATGGTATCTGGGCTTGGAGATCCCTCCGAGCCTCATGGCCAGCAACCCCAATTGAACCAGAAGCAATTTTTCCTTAGCGAAGCCTGCCTCGTCTCGGGCGGCGCTGGCGGTTTCTCAGCAGCTCGGCGATTGAGCTCCTGTGCAGATCACCTTTTTTAGGACCCCAAAGAGTCAGCGTTGATTGAACGCTGTAAGAAATCATTTGGGCCGATCTCTTAACGCAGATGCCATATGGCTCATAGGCTGGCCAGAGTCATAGTCACCGAGTTCAGGTTCTTCAGGAAACGGTCAGGAAAGACCCGTCACAGACGGCAATCGAGCTGATCCGCCTCTAAACTGAATGGGGAAACGGGCTGTCAGTTATGGATTTCTCTCTTTTGCACGGTTGCTGTTTTTCTTTTTTTTTTTGGCACTCACCCTTTCCCTTTCCCGGTCTCACGTGCTCTCCTGTCTCTCACTCTTCCCCACCCTCACGCTCTCCCTCTCAGGTTACGATGATCTGACACAGGGGACGGCAGGAGGGGAGTACAGTAAAGGTGGCTACAGTGGCTCATCACAAGCACAAGCCAAATCTGCCGCCACTGGGCCGGGCAAAGGTGAGGGCCAGCGGCCACCCTGCCCTGCTGCTGCCACAGCACTGGGGCTGCCATGCCAGTCACGTCCTCCAGACGTCTTAAATTTAAAATCTGTTTTTTTTTTTCCCCACACTTAAACGGGACTCCGTTTCTCATGCTCTCCCCACCTGTGGTTTGGAGAACTGCAGCAGTTCCAGCTTGTAGCCTGATCTTGTCAGGTCGTACATGCGGAGCAGGGCTGGGCCTGGTCAGTTCTGGGATTGGAAACCTCCAGGCAAAACCCGGGTACTGCTTCTACCGCGAGTAGTGCTGTTGGACCGAGAGGTGGCACTCTTCCCTAGACCAGAATTTCCCAGGCCCAGTGTTCTCCAGTGTTGGGTTTGGGTATTGATGCACCGTCCCTTAGCTTGAGCAGTTATGGAGGTGCTGCCCCACTGCCTTTTGGAGATGTTAAACCAAGGTCCTGCCTACTTGGTCATTCCAAAATCCCTCTGCATCTTTTGGAAGAGTAAGGAAGTTGACCCTGGTGTCCTGTTTGAACACCACTCTGGGTTTGCACAATCTAGCTTTCCTAACGATCCTCCTTCATTCAGGTGGTAAAATTGTCCACCTGATCTGCTGTGGCAGTGGAGCCGCTGGCCAGTAATGGCTGCAGGGCTTCACTTGGATGCAGTGGTGGAAGACGTGGGTTCGATCCTATGTGTAAAGTGCAGTGGGATCCTTGGGGATAAGAAGTTCTAGATCAGTGCAGGCGAGGACTATTACTTGTGTGTCATGCAGCCAGGTTTGCTACTGCCTGCCGCCTCTTGCAGTGGCCTGGGGGGAGAGGAGTGCAACGCACACATCCTCTGAGACCTGCTTCACTTAGCTCGCGGTTTCCTTTTCTTCCACACCCTGAAAGGTCTTATTCTCTCCTCAGTGCACTGCCAGCCAGCCAGCCTCAATTGAAAGTGAACATCTGTCAGGGCTGCTTTTCCAGATTTCAACCCACCAGCAGATGTTAAGAGGTTTTTGAAGTTGAATCTGAGGCATTAGACCTTGATGAGTTCTCAGTCTTAGCCCGTGTCTGCTGCAATGAAGTACAGAGCCCTTAGGTGGAGCTTCATCACTCTCTCTCCTTGCCTCTTGACAGTAGATTGTTGAGATGTGTAGAGAGGCTGAACTAATAACCCACGTTGTCCGTATTTGCCAGTAATGAGATTTGTGGTTAAAGTGAAGTTAATCTGGTTTATATTCTTTTCAACACTTTACAGCCATGTGGTGATTTGGATGTGCAGAAAGTTTTTTATGTTTTTAATCTTTTCAATCACCATGCTACTGTATTTGTATTCAGGTACATTTTTTATCATGATTTCATGACATTAAAGAATATAAAGTTCCTTAGCCCTCACGTCAAGATGTCCACAATTGTCTCAAACTCCTTGTAGAACATTTAGTTTTGAACCTACCGAAATGGGTTTGCAGTTAAAGTGTATTTAAAAAGAGGTGCTTGTCAGTCAAATGTAATGATTTGTATGAGCAGTTCTGATTGTCGGATTACCGGTTTGTTTTCAGGTGTCTCAGTGGCATCCAATAACGCTGGAGTGCCAGACATCAGCGGCTCTGTTTACAACAAGACGCAGGTGAGTGTGGCTGTGCCCTGGGCACACATCTGACCCCTCAAGTGTCCAAGGAGCTGCATCGAACATTTCTGAAATGGTTTAGATTGCGGTTACTCTGTAGTTAGCTGAATAATGGGAGAATGCAGTAGTAGGGGGCTGTAAAGTGCTTAAGAATAAAATGTGCATGCTGGTGTAGACAAAAGTTAGATAATGTCTTCAGTTATTTGCCAGGAGTCATTTGCTGACCAGCCCTGCTCTCTTTATGTAGCTCGAATTTGCATTCTTTGAGCACATCATCACTCCTGCTGCACACACACTTTCCCTGTTCCTGATCTGAGCTCTCTCCAGTTAAACATCTAGAACGTGCCTCACTGAGGAAAACGGTCAGGACAGTCAACAGATGTGATCATCCGTTACACAGCTCTCCAGTTTTATATTGGGCGTGAAACCGAGTCGCGTGTGAAGTTAGTCCTCGGCCCGAACTGCGGTGTAACACAGATAGCTTTGCAGACAGGATTGGAATTCACAGTTGTACGTTTTTATTTTGGCTTCAAGATGGCAGCTCGACGATCTGTGAAAACCAAATTCTTGGTGTTCGTGGTCCAAAGCAACAGGTGCCACAAAAAACTAAAAGTCCGACTTTGTTATAGGCCCTGTGCGGCGAGACGAAGCCAAGGTGCTCCTCCCTCTCTTTTTAAAGTGTTGCCATATTCCAGCTCTCCTGTCGTGAGCCTTTCCCCACAGCCCCCTGTGATCCTGTGACCCCGGGTCTGGCTTTGGGGTGCTGAGCCTCCCGTTTGTCTCGTCTCTCCCCCTCCAGTCCTTCGATAAGCAGGGTTTCCATGCAGGCACCCCTCCCCCCTTCAGCCTGCCCTCCGCGCTGGGCGGCGCGGGCCCCCTGAACCCCGGGGCGACCCCGGGGTATGCTCCGGCGCCTTTCCTTCACATCCTGCCCGCCCACCAGCAGCCTCACTCCCAGCTGCTGCACCACCACCTGCAGCAGGACAGCCAGGTAAGCTCTCCGCAGCTCCCCCGGCCGGCTGTGTGGGGATCGGGGGTCTGCAGGTAACGCCAAGGAGGAGTGAGGGATTGCAGTGTAGGGATGGGCACAGAAGAGCTGATAGAATACATAGAGGTGGCATTATAGTGACCGGACCAGGTCAGAGCAAGGGTACAGGAATTAGGTTGATGGTGGTTGTGGAGACTAGCGCTTGTTTTGTTTTGTTTGAAATGGCGATCATCTCACGAGGTGCAGCAGTTCCTGACGAGTTTCTTGCAGTGGTAGGTCTGGGTGGGGGAGAGGCGGGGGTGTGGGGATGGGGTGGAGTTGGGGGCAGTATCGGCAGCCGCTCGTCGCCCGTGCCTTCTCTCACGCGCCTATCGCCCCCTGCAGGCCGGGACCACCCAGCGCAGCCAGTCCAACAGCTTGCAGCAGAAGAGCCAAACCAACAAATCCAGCTACGGCAGCTCCACTTACTGGGGCAACTGAGGCTGGGGTCATCCTTCTGTACCCCCCCCCCCCCCCCTCCAGCCCCATAAAACTATGACTGGTCAGAGACGTCATCACCACACTCTCGTCAGTGGGAGATGAAGACAGAGTTTAGATGTGAAATGCCAACACCATCGTGGCTCTCCTTCACTTTTTCTTTTGCTGTCATTGTATGTAAAATATTTATGTATGTATTTATATATATATGTAATGGTAGAACCTGAAATGTGGTCTCTTCATTTTTGAAGGATGTTTTTTTGTCTTTTTTTGCAAATTGTAGGGAATATAAAAATACATAAGGAAAAAAATAATGGACCTAACTTATATATTAAATGGGGGGGAAGGAGCAAAATAAAAACAGAAATACCACAAGGCATACCTGAAATGTTTTTTTACGTAAATATCCCATACCTGAAACTCTTTGAACTGAAGAATTCATGGTGTTATTCAAAATGCAAGCCCCCTTTTTTGTAACTTGGGTTTGTTTTGCCCAGTTTGCAGCTTGTAAAAGTACAGTTTTCTTCTTGGGGTAGATGTGGAACTTCTTTCTGGTTTATCAGTTTGCAGTTTCCCCAGTTCCTGCACCTGACAGATCCTCTGACAGACCGAGAGAGTTACTGGCACGAGACTCTTCTGCCTGCGGTATTTTTTCTGCTCTTGAGGTTCTTATGGATTTTAAGGCCTTGAAGGTGAATTGATTTTTCTTGTAATTTGAGAGATGCCCGTGTGTGTTTTTTTCCGTTCTGTCATTTTCAAATGGTGTCCCTATTATTGTTTTTGAGTGTCCGCTCCTCAGATCGGCTGAGTCTTGTTTACTTAGTATTGAGGAGTATGTCCTGTACCTGCCTCCTTGTCTCCTGGCCTTTCAGACTCTTCTTAAATATTTTTCAACGGAAAACCCTGATTTTGTTGCCTTCCTCCTCCATGACCCAAAACATATGTTTTATTTTAAACCTGTCACCCATCAAATAAAGTTCTGAGCAGTTCAGAATGTGTATGTGGAATCTATTAACATCCCATATAGGCTTAGAGATGAATTCTCTTACCTTTCTATATCTTTGTTCACTGGTTCTTAGAATGCCTTTGTTTAAGCATTCATCTGGTTAGTTCTAGCTCTCATCATTCATGCCTTATTAATCGATATTCCATTTGCAATTCCCCAATATTTGGATACTGTTCCTAGAGAGCTGAAATTCTCATTAGAGGGGGCTAAATAATTTTTCCTTATGTATGGCCCCGACAATGTAGTTTTAAGCTGATTTAACCCCTGTAGATCTCAGTATCATACATATTCACCCAATACTTTTCCAGTTTCTTAGAACCTGAGACTAATATCTATTGTAAAAGGCTTGATATATTGATTGTTTTTCTTTGGCAGTTTGTATTATTAATCCTTTTATTTTATCAAGTCATTACTCCCAGGATTACAGTTTTTACTGTTGTGCTTCAAGTGTCTTGTAACACTTTTCATTATTTTCTTTTGCTCATTTGCAAAATTCTCGTGTCTTCAATTTCAGTGTCTTTTTTCCAGATTCACCTGTCGCTCAGAATATTACTTTTGAGTCTTGGACACTAGTCCCTAAAGCCCTCCATTTTTATTTTTTTTCTTAATCGTTCCATTTAACCATTTTCAGACTTGTTTTGGAGGGATTGACTTGTTTTTAAAGTATAACTTTTGGCTCAATCCACGTGTTGAGAGCTCACTGCTTGCAAGTATTGCCTTATTCCATTCATCTGCTTCATGGAAATTATAAACCCTCTTTATATGAGATTAAAAGTATACATCAAAGTGAGCGTATTAGGAACACTGTTTTGGTGGTCCTGTAAGCAGCTAGCAGGTGCCTTTACAAACTGGGTTAAGAAGCGAAGTGTTTGGAATCTTCCCCAGCTGAGGGCTTAATTACATGAAGTGACCTATTTATGAACTCAATTGCAGTAGTCATGATCTCTGTTACAGAGCTAGAGCACCTGTGTGATAGCGAAAGGAACCAAATTACCAATCACCCTTTTTATTGACCTCCACAGTTCGGTAGAAATTGGGTGTGCTGCTCCACGCCGAGAACTAAAGAATAGGTGGGAAAATTCCGACTTTCCAAATTGGTTTTAAAAAAAGAAAAGATAAGAACCATATTACTCTTAGCTGTTGAAATAAAATTTTGAACAAAATTAAGAGTGCTAAAATGAGTGAGTGATCAGCATGGAGACCATTTTTTTTCCTAGTTGATGTAAATGTCTGTTTCTTGCCTGGAAATGCAGTGTTGGACTATAGCATGGTGCTGGGTTGTCCTCCAAACACTGGCTGCCACTACACAATACCATAATACCATGTCCAAGAGCTTCAGAAAACTCCCATTTCGATTCGTACTGAACCCTGATCCTAAAGAGTTACTGTTGTCCCTTAACAACCTGACTCGGCCCATTCTTGTCTCGAATGGTCCAAAGGACCATTCTTTGGACCACAGATGGAGGTAAGAATGAGCTTATTGGACTCTCCCAAGATGAATGTTTTCCTTTCTGCAGAGTTCCCAATCCAACTCGGATAACAGCTGCATGAAGGGAGCTCTGAAACCCAGTGATACAGGCTTGGTACCACACAAAGCTTAAAGAGAAACCGCAGTCCAGGTTTCTCAGAATGGTTATTAAATCTCCCTACCTAAATTCATGCCACAATTGAAATATTTTTTCAAAGCACTGCAAGTCACCATAATGTTGCACTCCCCTGCTCTCCCTATGGGTGAGAGGGAAAGTTCCCACAAATTACATGATACAGCCCTTCCTGCTCTTGTCACTGTGATGAACAATGTGATGTGCAAGTGAATAAGTACAGGTTGTGCAGTAGACATTTCACTGCAGAAGTGTTCCAGGATCTGCATTGCAGACTTAAGGTATTAGTATTAATCTCCCAAAACAGGCTCAAAATTGTGAGTGATATTTCTATTGGATCAAAAGTTCATTCAGGTCACTAGACATTTTGTTGCCTCAAATCTGAATTGCAGAAGATGGCACTGCACATACAGTACCTGGAAATTTAATCTGTGATGCAAATTGTGGGTTTAACAAATTATTGTGCATTTTACCTTCATTGTGGTTTGAAATGCACTCATCAATGCCAATTCTAACCCCAAAATATAAAAATGACATTGCGATCCCTTTAAGAGCCAAAATAGATTTAAGGAGAAAAGACATCCTGAAAACTGACCTCAACCTTGGCTGGAATGAAGAAGGGGATCCTTGAGGGCAAGAATTAAGACCCACCACCTCTAATCCAGAATCTGAAGATGTTACTAGTTTAGTGTACAGATCAGTATGCCATTACTAATACACTAGTTCTGGCTAAAATAGCACCTTGAAACTGTAGCACATATGTTCACTGTAGTTATCATTGGGAAGTACAAGGTTTGTGCAAATCATTTCTAAGATGACCAACTACCTAAACCCCACTCTCTGCTAAAATATGACTGAACCGTAGAACCAGCTTTAAGTCCTGGAACACAGAATACCATGTTTGTGCATCAGTCTTCATGGTACTGGAACCAGATAATTGCATGCCTCAAGGTACTAAATAATATTAACCAAAATGGGAAACCATAAAAGGCAGCTCTTTAAAAGAATGACAGTAACCTGTTTGACTTAACAAGACGCAAGCCATTAGTTACAAGAGCCACAGACCAGCCTCAAACTTAACTGCAGTTAAAACAAGGCACCTGTACATGGGCACAAAATATGAATTGTGAAATTGAAGCATCTCCACAGTCTATGAAGGTACTTCCATTTGTAGTTAGCAGTGCATCAGCTCCAATCCTGCAGCCTAGCTTCAATGGACAGATGACACAGGATTTGTGTGGTAAAAGTTTATTATGAAAAACCGTACACCATGTGGCAGTGGACATTTCTTCCCTTGTCTGTACCACTTTAGCACATGTCCTACTTCCAAATACAGAAGAAACCAGCAGCCTGCAATCTCCTGCTGCTGGAAGAGATGAGATGAGCTGAGCTCACCTGCGCCTGTTAATGTCAGACACTCCTGGCAGCTGGGCACCTGCCTCAGCTGTTCATACAACATGTGATCTCTTTGCTGACAAACCTAAGCAAGTCCGAGCCAGAATTTTAACATGTGCATGCAGTACATGAAAAACAAGTATTTTCAATTTTTGTTGTTAGGCCAATCGCACGAAGAGTATGAGGGAGATCTAAAACGCTAAAAAGCACAAAATTCAATTCATTCACAAAAGACACTTCCAACACTTTGTGAAGAACGATTATTAACGGTACTCCATTAGGCAATTTTCTACAATTCATGGTGGCAATTAATCTTCATAACATTACCAACTGCGAACACCTTTAAACCTGCTGCTGCAGGAAAAAAAAAACACCCATCATTATGTAATGGCAGGAAAATTAACTGTTCGTATTCCGTTTAATACAGACCTTTACCAGCAAAGCCTTCCGTTAAAAAGACTTCTGAACCAGAACCAGTAGAGCTCTGGGAGCTGCCTGAAGAAGGTGCGGGACGGGCTGGACCCAGATGGAACATCCGGGGGTCTCAGGGGACGGGGGGGCAGTTGGCTCGTATGGCCACCCCACACACAGGAGGAGAGTGAGCCATGGTGCCCTCAAAAACCCAAATCGCCCCAATGCGTTTTAGGTACTTCAAATTACCGCTGCCACTCCTTGTCATGTCCATTACACACACTGCTTTACTCCGGTAACAATTCTTCAGAAGCCATCATACCTGCAACTCGGCGGCCTACAGAACTGCTCAGTCTACTGTCTTTTGCTAGCTGTCAAACGATTAATTGAAAAGTATTTGTTAATAATTAATCGAAGCTCAATCAACTCCACAAGTTTAACCACCTTTGCATGATCCGAGCAGCGGAGCTCTGTGCTGATGCGGGACCGCGGAGACCCGAGGGACGAGGATCTCCACAGTCCCACTGTTCCGAGACCACTGCTCCAAGGCAAAGATCTGATCAAGGCACTGGCTGCTCATACCAGGCCCACAGGCTGGAGGCAAAACAAAAAAACATTTAATCCCGGATAACTCCACACATCCCAGGCCCCGGAGCAGGTGACTTCCCTGCACACTGCCCACGAGTCCAGGACGGTCCGACTCACAGCTGCAGGACCGCTGGCGCCTCCTTCAGACCCAGCGACCAACAGCGGAAACCTCAGACCTCATTCACTTCAGTCAGTCAAGACCTGAGGAGGGATGGGCCGCTTTAGAGCTGAAGGAGGGACAACACTTTCAGGCAGTGTCACCAAGCCAACAGCCAGCAGATGGGTTTGAAATTTTTTTTTCCTTCTTACAGTAACAAAAGGTCCAGCTGACAGAAATATAATAACTGACCGACACAAACAGGTTCATATTCCAAGATCAACATTTTGAAGTAAGTTTGTAATTCAGCAACTTTACCCAGCTCCTCCATTTAAAACAGGAGTCGCTTCCCAGGAACGCTTCTGAAGAAAAGCCTGGGAATCCAGCCACTTCTCCCCGGAACAAACTTAAAAACAGCTTCTTAAGGCATGTGGATGAGGACTGCTTCAGACTCGCCGGGTCTTTCCTGCCCCGACTCAAAACAAAGGATCTTAGAAGCAAGCGAGACCTAGAGAATGAATATAAAAAATACTGTACAGTACTACGAGCCAAGAAATGTCAAGTCTCCGAGGACGGCACATGGTAGGTATCATTCATCCTCCTCGGCTTTGCTCTTTTTCTTTTTCTTCTTCTTCTTCTTCTTGTCTGTCTGTGGAGTCTCGGGCTCAACCACCTCCTGCCCCTCCTCTTCCTCCTCCAGAGCCTCACTCTTCCTCTTCTTCTTTTTCTTCTTGGCAGGAGCCACGTCCTCCTCTGCCCCATTCTCCGATGGCTCCTCTTCCACCAGCTGCTTCTGCTTCTTCTTCTTCACCACCGTCTCGGGCTCCCCGTTCTCCTGGGGAGAGGAGGGCAGTGTCATTACACTGAAACCTACACAAGCCTCAAGCTGTGCATGTCATACAGAGCCCCAAGCCCAGGAACACAATGAAGTGAAGCATTAGCTGGGCTTTACAACTTCCCAGAAAATTCATCTCCAGACACTGTGTAGAGACAAACCCAGCGAGCCAACGCACAAAGGGCTAAACCCTTCACAGCACCTGACTTCAGTGAAAGGACCCTGGGCTCCTGCTGGATCAGACTCATTGCATTGCCTGCTTTTATCCCCACAGTGAGGTCACTGTAGGGGACACTGTGGTTCAAGTAACCCGGCCCCAGTTAAGATCTTAATACCAAACATCCCTTACCTGTCCCACTGCAGAATCCTGAAAGCCAACACCCTAGTGTGTAATGAGCTACTCATTCCATAGTGCAAATCAGCTGGTTACACATCCCATGCAGATCTACACCTAATGTTGCAAACCAGAGCTGTACAGCAAGGTGGGAGTGTGGAGTCAGGAAGTCTTTAAAACCGCCAGCAGGTGATCAGAGAGGCCCACTGCGGCCTAAATTTAAAGAGTCCGCAATGAAAGGTCAGAGCTTCGTGTTCTTTAGTTCTGTAACGAAGCAATGGTGCTTTAATTTAGAGTTTTATCACTAACCCAGACACGTCCTAGTTGACAACACTTCAGGGAACAAGAGGTTTCAGGACGTCAAAGCATCCAGGAGCACTTGACCTCTGCAGAAAACACAGCAGTACCACCAGGGCTCTCACCTCTCCATTAGTCTTGGCCTTCTTCGCCTTCGTTTCCTCCTCAACTTCCTCATCTACTGCAGCAGCCAGAGCCTCCAGCTTCCTCTTCTCCCTCTTCTTGCGCTTCCTCTCCTTCTTCTCCAGCTTTCGCTTGATCTCGGCAGCCACCTCCGTCGCCTGCAACGAACGGGGAGGAGAGGGTCAGGGACATCAGGGATGGGAAAATCAAATGGGGACGAAAAGCATGTGTAGCGAGACTAAGGCAGGGCAATTCAGACCAGTTACAGTCTCCATAGCCTTGATTCTGTCTGCCCACCACGATCAACACTCCTACTTTTCAACTCCTGGCCTTCCACAAAAGGGACTCCCGCACCCCCCTTTATTCCTGCCAACTTGATGTCTGGAGCACCTGGCTAAGAGACAAGTGCCAGAGCAATGTCATTTCCCCAGCTGCTGAACATGCACAACCATCTTGAAGACCTGCCAAGGTCAGGAAATGGTACAACTGGAGGATCTTGCAGCGTCTTCGTCACTCTGTGAAGAGCACAGCTGACCTTCCCTCGCCCGCTGCTCCTCCTCACGCCTGTGCCTCACATGCAGCTCAGCCCAGGGGAAGCCCTGCTGTGTCAGGCTCATTAAATCAGTTTGTACCCCCATGTGTTTGTCGGAGTAAGCGAGTCATCACCCACAGCACTGCAGGCTCCCCTCCCTGGGCGCGCGAGCCCAAGGCGCCACTTTGAGCTCTGAGCCGATATACCGATCTCAGTCAGAACTTTGCCCCAGTGTGATCGCCAAGCGTGCGCAGTTCCTGGTTTAGACGTTTCTGGGGTGCAAGCGATTTAAAAGGGACTCCAGCTCCCCCGTACCTCCTTCACGGCCTCCTTCATGACATCCAGGTTCTTGCGTGGGGCGTCTCCAGTCTCGTAGAACGACAGCCGCTCCTCCACCTGGTCACGCAGCTTGTCCCCGAACACGCTGGTGGGAACCTCTGGCAGGCACACACAAACGAGGTCGGTAACGATCCCAGAACGCAACAGCGCAGCAGCGGACAGAAAGCCACACGCAGCAGCTGGGATGGACACCAGCCTCCTGGCGAGGGCGGGCCCATCCGTGCACAGACTTTGCTCAGTGTAAAGATTATCAACATCCACCAGAGGTGGGATACTGCTGACGAAAAATTGAGCATCATTGCTAAAGTCTGCAGAGCCCTATTGTCTTTAATGACATGCCTGCCTGCAGCACAAAACAGGCTTTGAATGGAAGAGGGAACCACAAGGTGCTCAACTAGTACACAAACGGGAGCTGCCTCTCGACTTGGGTGATACTTGCACGTTCTAGCGAAGCAAACCAACCTTTTAAGACACTAGATATGGTTCGGTTCTACCGCAGGAATAAGCCTAGAGCTTGCAGTATGGAGATCTGGGAGAGAAGCTGTGACTACAATTAAACACTGCTCCTTGAATACAAGGAAACACTGGACATGCTGCCTCCACTTATTCTCAATACACCTGCACCGGCAAGTCCGTCCAATTAACCCAAACCTTTATTTTAAATGGCCGTCACGAGAAGATGCCTTTCCATTTACATTTTGAAATGCAATTAGACCAAGCCGCGTCGGTGCGCTCCGCCCACACCCCCCCCCCACTCACCGGAGAAGCAGTCGATGCGGGAGGCGATGGTGCACTTGTTGGCCAGGTAGCGGGAGATGCGCCCCTTGTTCTTGGCTGCAGCGCGGCCGATGAACGTGGAGTGGAATATGAGGCCGTACTTCGGCGTGTTTCCCCGAGTCTTCAGGGCTCTGGAGGCAAAAGAGCACAGGGCCCTCTGAGCACACCTGCCCCTGGGCATCACCTTTACACTCTCACGGAGGAGCGCCGGCAAGGCAGCTTACTCAGGAGCCCACATAACACTCCTTTTCACAGGGACTCAAGCATCACAGTGC